CATATTTCAATAGCCTCTTCAGTTTATAAGAAAGGCATGGTTTTCGGGGCAAAGCAGACCACTATAAGCTCATAGCATTTATAACGAATTACTCTTTACTTCAGTGCAAAGAAATTGTAAGAAATTCAATCCAATCAGAAATAATTTAAGATTAGCACACCTTAACAACAATTAGGCTTCTGATACATGTAAAACAAACTGTTAATAACTTATATGAGATATATTCAACCTATTTCGTTTAAGATGATGAAGGACTGGTAGTAGAATTTTCTCACAAGTATATGAGTAGAGCTGATGTTTCCATTAAATTTCACAGAGCCTTGCTTTCCCAAAAGTTGTTTTCATCCAGAGTGGACTGCACTTTCGACCTCGTATAGGTCTTATCAACACCCCCAACGAGAGTCGAACCGTGGTAGTGTAGAATTTGAGCTTGACACGTTAACGACGTTAATAACTTATGCTCTTAGCGAAATGAGATTTAAGATGGTTCAAAGGTAGTGGAGTAAGGTATGCAGAAAGCTGGATTTCGGAGAATGCCTGAATAGATTGAAACCAGAGCGAGTGGAAAGGATTCGTAAGTTAGCCTCACCGGATGCAGAAAGAGGATTGCCTTAGGGCTGTGACTGTATATTTGGAGAATAAGTCCTCAGCGCACCGCCCCGCGGCACTGATGAATACTCGTTGAGCTTTTGATCGCAATGCAACGTGCCTTCGTGCTTTGTTGAATTAGTGTAAAACGTGGTGTCTTACTCTGAGGATGTTCGTCAAATGACGGATGATAGTTAGGCTAAGGTTCATCAAGGTCGCATGGCATTGCTTCGAGAAGTTATTCGTATGAATATACAGACACAGCTCATAGCAATCCTCCTTCAGCTTCCGGTGAGGCTACCACTTCCACTCGCCTCCTTAAACGAAATAAAAGGTATATCGACTTGATGGAATGAAGTCTACTATAAAAGGGAAAATGATGAATAAGGACTACACACAACAGGAGACAAGGAAAATATAATGCGTACAGGCTATAAAAATATTTGTTTTTTTATTGTGAATATTATGGATCTTTGATAGGAATCTGAGGTCAGCAAAAAGATCGTTGTATCCATTTAAATTTCAATAACGCGTTTGAAATTTAGAGCTTACTTCTCGCTAAAAAGATAAACGTTCCAATTTAAGGAAACAGTATAGAATGAGGTTCAGGCCGCTTGATTTTATTATGTGGGCCCCAGAAGGTCACATGAATATATATATGATAAAATCTAAATTTAATTGAAGGCGACCATCATCAGAAGAAGATAAAACATTTAGTCAACTATCCCAAGGCACTGTTTCTCAAATAAATCATATTCTTGGACAAACTTACTTGCCATACCCGGTCACATCCCCAAGGTTCATATGATCTGCCAGTATAACACTACTGATGACAGGGAGGTGAACAAATCAGAGTTGCTGCAAGCATGAATCCGTTGTCTAAATCTGGCATGCTTCTTCATGCCAAAGCACACACCGCTCCCTTAGACTTAAGCGTATAGTTTGATTGAGACAAAATTCTATATAGGCACTTAATTTTAGTACATGCAAGCGCACATAACTGCCGTCTGAGAAATGCAGCTTGCTTCGCAAGTGTCGAAGATGAAGAAGGAATATATTTTAGCCGCCGACGCCTGAGACAAGAATTTTTTACTTACGAGTGTGCCTCGACGATTGAGCTTAACTGAGACTAAATATACAATAGGAGCCCTGTTAATGGACCAGTTCTGCATGGCTAGCAAAGTGACAGAGATGTGCACTTAGTAATTTAAATCGGAAGAGTATAAAAAATAGCATTCTTAATCAAGGTTAGTGCCAATTAAGTAGCAGTTAAACAGAGGCCAATTTAAGAACACCAGGCTTTGGTGTTAACTCGAATGATATTCATGATGGCATAGCAATTATAACTGACAGATAGTTAGGTTGCTGAGTAAGCTGTCCACCAGCCTTTGTAAATATTCAGGCATTAGAGAACCAAACTTCTTGATAACTCAGCCGCATAATAGCTAATGTTGTGATTCAAGGATAGTTGACGGCGAACAAATTTCTTTCCAATGTATACTAAAAATAATTTAGGAATAGGGTGTGAATGGATAGCTACTCGACTGACTAATAAAGTAAATAAACGATAGTTAAAAATAAAATAAAATAAAATGCACAAAATGATGCCTCCTATCTGGAAGCAAATATATGGAAGCACACATAAAATGCACAAGTATGCTTTGATTTTATGATTACAACAATAAATTAAAATGACAATGGATTTGTGTATAGACAGCTGAAATAAGCAAAGATATCGTTTGATTTGTTACCAAAGGTGCACTTTGAAGAAGACGGCAAAAGGCCCTCATAATAAAATTAATGATATTTATAAAAAATATTGATTTTAAAATTGAATAGCGATAGTAAATAAAGTAAAATTGCCTTGACTATGATTTTTTAAAAATAATAGCACTATTTATCTCTGTTTCCGATGCGGCCTTAAAATAAATCTCATTAACCCAGATTTCTTAAACGAGACATAGATTGCCTCACAGAAGAGCAGATAATTCTCACTCGAAAACGAGCAATCTAAACAGATATATAAAGTAAATAGTCAGTTTAACTGGAGGTCCAATTGATAGTTTGGAGACGCAGAGCAAAATGATTTCTTCTGCAAGTATGCAATTTTTGGGAATGTAACGATAGCCATGTATTGTTCATTAAGTTGTTCAGTAGTAAGTTAGTATCTTCTCTCCATCACTTTTTTCGACCTTATGGATAATTCACGCTCTTTGGGCTGTATCGCATGCGAATGAAAGAGAAAATTTTAATAGACGAATTCGGGAGAATGCGTATTAGAGGTGCTAAATTAGTCAAGCTCTTTTTACAAGGACTTACCTTCAAAATTAACACTCGGACAAATTCCCAGTCAAGCATTTTCAGAACTTTGTGGAGAACTTTTGTTGGAAAATGCTCAAAAATGACATGGCCTTTGATTTATATAGGCCACGTAAAAAAGGATAAAGCATGAAGGTACACGTGTACAACATAAAAGAAAAACTCTCCAGAACTGAGTAAACAACAAGGTTAGCCCTATATTCGTAAAAAATAAAGATTTATATCCTACTATTTTGGCTTACTCTAAAACTTCAAATTACCTTATGCTCTGAAAGGTAAACCACAGTAAAATAGGCTAATCATTTAAGACTGTGTATATAATAAGAAGTTAAAATAATAAGCTTGAAAATCGTGACAATAAAACAAATGGTCGAAACTTGGCATCAAACTGAGAAATTATAAATCGAGGAGAATTTTGATTTTTGTAATTTTCTTCTTTACAGGCTTCCAACCAGTTCCATACATTTCCCCTTTTTTAGTAACGGTTAATTGATTTTTCTTTGATTTCCTAATAAATTATTTAATACAACTTAAGATACCATATGCTCAAATAACAAATAACCAGGCTCCACACATTAAGGTATGCAAAATAGAACAGTCATTTAGCAGAGCGGATGAGACCAAAGATGTAGAAACTTTGATAAATCGTGATTGAAAATAGATTAAAGGTTAATTATTCTTGCTTAGTGAGAGAATCTTGTAGTAAATAAAATCAAGGGCGTCTATAAATTGTTGAATTTTTTAGTAAAGTAAAGTAGTAAAGTGGAATTGGTAGATTTAAATGAACAAAAAAATTGGATGCTTAATAGGAAAAAAATCCAGTTTTGTAAGCGCTTTTAAAATACGATGCCGTTAATGGGTCCAGAATTCATAGTTAGAATTTTATGTTTGTAAAGCTTTTAGAACTTTACTGCAGGAAGGAATCAGATGTGAACTAAATCATCTGAAAAGTTGGTTGAACTCGTCACAACTTGGTCTTCTTGTCTGGAAGAATTAGTAGAACGCACCTAGGCCGAAGTCGTCTGCCATAGTAGTTGTCATAATTCCCAGCATTAGACAATGAACTTGGTACATTCTCAAACGTTTCGCAGGTATCGTAATCGGCATCATCAATGAGTTTTGCCATTCGCCGCACCAAGCTACGAACTCGTTAAAGAGACAAGTGAAGTCAATCTCTTGACCAACTTTCAGGAAAAACGTTAACTATTTAGATATGAAGATCAAGATGATGTGACCTCTGGTATGGTCGCAGTCTCCTTTCGATTTATAGAAGTGGGTTTACCTCGTTGTCACAACTTGGTCTTGTTGACAGGGAGACTTAAAAGAACACACCGTGTCCGAAGTTCTCTGTCATAGTAATTATCACTCCACTAGGATAAGGTTAATGACTATATCCACCAGACATCACCAGGCAGAACGGGGACTATGAAATAAC